CTGAGTCTCAAACAGCTTCGAGGTCTAAATTAAAGATGACCTTTACGAGCATAACATTAATTTGTGGTCACTGTTATCTTTCTAACGAGAAAAGATTAACGTGTAGGCGTGTTTTTTTTGTAATCATTATATTTTTCCAGGCACAACTGTATTTTTATGGTCAATGAGTAAAACACTTTTTGCCGATCACTGGCCATAAGCTAGCTTTGAAATTTTTTAAAAGTGTTTAATATGTAAACAAGCATTATAGTTACAGTATAAATGCATCCTAGTAATTTCCTTTCAAACTTTACTTACCTTTTATCGAATATTAATGTTAACATGAATGATCGAAATCAAGAGATTGTCGACTTTTACCGGTGAATCACATAGTCGCTTTCGTGAATGTCCGAAATATTTGTTATATCCGATTTGATATTAATTTATTCATTGATATTATAATATTTATTTGATATTTTAATATATGCTGAAGATAGATTAAGAGAAACATCAGAGTTCGGAGTACCGGTTAAATTCATACTGGGAAGTGGCACTTGACCTTAAAAAACATTGATGTAGGGCATACCGGGCAAATGTATACCNTTCTAACAAGAAAAGATTAACGGGTAGGCGTGTATTTTTGTAACCATTATATTTTTCCAGGCACAAATGTGTTTTATATTCAATGAGTAAAACACTTTTTACTGATCACTGGCCATACCATAAGCTAGCTTTGAAATTTTTTAAAAGTGTTTAATATTTAAACAAGCATTATAGTTATAGTATAAATTTATCCTAGTAATTTCCTTTCAAACTTTACTTACCTTTTATCGAATATTAATGTTAAAGTCAATGACCGAAATCAAGAGAATGTCGACTTTCACCGGTAAATGTCAGCAACTCCATAGTCACTTTCGTGAATGTCCGAAATATTTGTTATATCCGATTTGATATTAATTTATGCATTGATATTATAATATCAATGGATAGATTAGGAGAGACATCAGTGTTCGGAGTACCGGTTAAATTCTTACTGAGAAATGGCACTTGACCTTAAAAAAAATTTATGTAGGGCATACCGGGCAAATGTATACCGAACAGTGGCACTTAACTAGACCTAGTATATATTTTGGACATTTACTAAAGTGACGCTGTGATTGTCAACATTCACCGGTGGAAGTCAACAGCCATAAATTTCGATCATTCATCGTAACATTAATTAAAAATATGCATTATATTAAGAATTGAAGTGGTTAATAAGAAAAAATCAAAATTAATTTTAGAGGAAATTAAAAAATATTTGTTTGAATTTTTACGTCTGCTTTGTTACATAAATGAAATGAGAAAAACGAAAATAAAAAAATTATTACTCAAGTTAATTAAGTTAAAATTTAGAATTTCTTATGATAGACATTTTTAATTTTTTTTTTTCAGTTTCCTTTTTCCCTTGGTTTCCTTGGATTCATTAAAATTGCATATTCCTTTTCCTGTATTTGAAAATCCATTTTGAATACATAAATGTAAAGTTTTAAAAATGACACAAAATATATTTTGAAAAAAAAAACATTTAACCAAATGTATTAGAAAGAAAAATTTTTAGCATTTTTATTTGCAGAAAAGCAATTTTAAATCATGGAGTAATTTTATGTAAAAAATAATTGCGTAAATAAATAATTAGACTGTTGATTAGAAAAAGAAACGCTTTTTTGCATTGACAACGGTTTTTCTTTGAATAAATTTATGAAAAAAGTTTGAAAAAAGATAAGAATTAACTACTACATAACATAATTATACTAGTTATTCATTTCAAACTAAATGAAACAATTTTTTTTTCTTCATAAAACATTTAATTTCTTTTATTCATGCAATGTATTCAAAGAATTTTATAATTTATTTGTTTAATTTAAAGTGAAATTTTTCAGGATTTAGTTTAGTGAAATGAATAATTTATGATTGTGAAAACCAAATTAAGATTTTCAAAAACACTTATATTCATAATTTGTTTCTTTAATTGATAATTAATTTAGTTTAAAATAAATTTATTTACTAAAAAGGCTTAATAAATGTAAATACCATTGATTGAGAAATCATATTTATAATTATTTGAGTATCTATGTGTTCAAAAAATAAAAACACTAATGAAGAAAATGCAGCTTGCGAACATTTTAGATCTTACTTCCATACAAATGGATACTTTACGAATCTATAAAAGGAAGTAAATGCTCAAGAAAAAATGACTTATAAATTAATATTATCATAATTATCTACTGTATATTTCGCAAAAATACTACCATTTTTTTTTATCAAATTCTTAACAAAAATATCCCACTAAGTGATAGCTTTTTTCGTGAACAAATGGAAATGAAGGAAGTGTTAAAAACTATAGAACTGTAAGGCAGGCCTCAATTTGATCTCCAAGAATTTTTTCATAAGATTTTCACGAACTCAGTATAGTTTAGAGCGCAAGCAGGTTTTACAAGTAAATTCCACATTACAAATCATATTCAAGGAATCAAAAAACTAATCGAGTTAAGTAACGAATGTAACGAATATTAAATGCCTCACTGCTTTGTCTTCATTGACGGTGAGGAGGCTTTTGCCACCGCTGTAAGTTCCATCACTTCTATTGCTTGTTGTTGCTGTTTCTAATTCCACTTGCAAATATCATCAAGCCTGATTGGTGAAACCAATCGAATTTAAGGCAAATGGTACAGTTACTGTTTTTCAGTGGTGCCATCAATAGCAGAAATACAACTTCAGCCACACACTCACAACCCAGTTATAGGGCAAACCCGTTCATGTATCCGTTTATTCACAGATCGTAATTTCGACTTGAACAAGAAGACGATCAATTCAGTTACCCCAGAGGTATGATTTGTTATGGGAACGTGGAGGACTTTGTGACCCGATAGGTTTAAAGTATATATATATATATANTATATATATGAATCAACTCGGAAAGCAAACAAGTAAAAAGATTAGGAACACAATATCACCTAAATTATTAACTTCTGTTCTGCAAAATCGCCTTTTATACGTAAGCACTACCTATTTCAAGACATTAAAACAGGGGAAAAAATCTATAATCAACTTTTATGATATTGTAATAAATTTTTGAAAAAAAAACTAAATGATCAACGATACAGTTATGAAGTAGTAAAATTAATTTACGTAAGACAAAAACTAACTTTAATGAAGGAAAAAGAAGTTAACAGCGTAGAATATGAAGAAGTTAAGTTTATTTACTTTTGGCAGAGATCAAAATTCTGTGACATCTATGAAATAAACAGAAGAATCAAAATCGTTTTGAACTTTATTCACGAAAATCATATCATACTAAAGGGAAATATGCCACCCTGTGTGAAGATACAGGTTTTCATTACCTGCAATTATTTGCAAAGCATTGACTCTTACTAACAAATCTACCTAAAGGAATGCAAAGAAATTACGAAAAATTACTACAAGCGAATAAAATGTGCAAGACCAGAAACAAAGATTTTAAAAATCGTCGAGAGAATTAAAAGTTAAAAATGGCAATAAACTACTCATACAGTTTGAGTAACAGACAAGCACTGAAATTATGACCGGTAGACTTGTGACACTTAAGCATCAAGAGAGCAATCGAAAGCAAGGCTTTGAAAACAGCATTAGTGAGTTAGAACGCAAAAGCAGCATATGGAAATATTTGAAACTTTTTAGAACAGAACTTCATTGGAGTTCAACGTAGATCTACCTCCTCGTGGTGAACTTCGGGCAACGCTCTGCGGCTAAATGATCTACTGTCTTTCGCAGTCACTTGCTATGAAACTCCTTCATGGACACACTGAGTCCTCAAGATATTGGGAAGCAAGAGAACTTTTAAGGCAATGGCTTCGGTCTTCTTTCTTTGTTATCCTACGTGCATTTGCATGCGTTATTTATTTTATCTTTCTATTTGTACCTTTTTGCCTTGCCATTGGAAATGAAAAGAATTAAAAAAAAAGGCTTCATTAAAAATCGGATTAATTTTTATTAAAGATATTGATTAAATTAAGACGTATAAAAATCAAATAAAAATAATAATCAATCAATGCATTTTCATTTGACAGATGAATGACATTGGCATAAATCAATTTTTTAAAATAAAGATTTCTTTGGTTGTATAGCAAAACTTATAAAGATAATATTTATCTGCTCTGAGAGAAAAAAATTTTTGGTCGAAACTACCGGAATATAATACAATATACCGTGTCTCTGGCTCTATGGAAACATTCTACAACTCGATCCGTAATTTTCACCGAAGCACTTTGGTAATGATTTTGGTAAGATTAACAATAAAATATAGTTTTATACTACGATCTAAAATTTGATGAATGTGGTAAAATTTGGTAGTTTTAAAATAGTACCTTTGATGATGACATAATGAACATTTATTTGGCTGAATTTACTTTTCATTTTAGCAATGTTTTCACAATGTTGGAAATAAGAACTATAATTCTAAGAACCTGAACTTTCGATACTTCGTTATTGTATAAAAAATAATTACCAAATGATTGCTTTAAATACCGTATATTTTGGTTCCATTAAACAGAATTATGAGTATTTTTTCATTACCATTCATTACGGTAATTGTATTAGAATTTTTTCTCCGTAAATATTTCTTTGTAAAATATTTCCTTTCTTCTAATTTAAAGATATTTGTCTATAATATTATATCATTTTTCCATAGTATTGTTTGCCATTTTAACTTTTAATTGCATGCTGTTTTGACTAGCAGTCCTTCGCAATTAATCAGTCCTTAATTTAACAGTTTTTTGAATTGCTTTATATGCACCATTTACTAACGTATAATTTTTTAAAAACTTATTGCTTTCTTTGAATTCTGAAAAATATCCCTTAATAAACCACTCATGTACACATCATATTTTTTTCAAATCAAAAGCGAAAAAAATCTAGGTATTGTATTGTACATGAAAGATAGTTAAAATGCATATGGTTAAATTTGATACGTTTGTTTAAACAAATAATAAAAACATACTTACAAGCAAACAGTAGTAAAGATACACAAAACAGGAACATGCTGAACAATCGATTCTCTGTTCTTGAATAACTTAACACCTTAGTTTCCAATAATCCTTTTTTATTACTTTCACACTATCGTTTACAGTTGTGAGCTAGGATTGTAATGAATTCATTTATTTGATTATTTGTAGCTTTGAGTGAAATTTAAATGAGAAACGTACTCCATAAACTGATAAAACTTTTATATTAGTTAGCATTCTTTTTTTGCAGTTTCCAAAGCATTATTTTATTCACCAAGACTTGAAGCAAATCATTACGGTTTCTTTAATCGTTAAGAAAAATATCAGTTTTTAGTCAGTTTCAAGTAATTCCCTATTTGAATCCATCCATCACTTATTTTGATAACGATTTCAATAACTTAAACGTGTTTTTATATGTCAGTTAGAGTTAAATACCGAATCTTTAAATTTTATAAACGTACACAAGACGTAAGGTAAATGATTCGAAGACGTGATGTGAAGTGATTTCGAACATCCCGCTCTTAAGTTCTCAGTAAAGAAGCTTAGAATTTGTGAACCTTACAGGAAAACACACTTTACAGTTCTGACACTAATCCTAACCACGCTTTTCGGAACTGATTCATAGTTTGCAGCGCCAAGTTTTGTCGCCAACGAAAACTTTTGGCGTTCTGGCAAAAGCGCCTGGGCTGAGATTTATTATAATCGATTGTTCTGCATTTTGAACGTCTTTTCAATCATAATAATACGAAGTGATTAGTTTTCTAGAGAATGATTTATGCTAAATGGAAAATTGAAGTGGTTTTGAGAGCCCTTTTCATAAGCTTAATTTTTCAAAGCGAACCGGGTATCAGTGAGGCATGTGTGAAAAAGATTTCTCTAGTAATTAGAATTCATTATAATACATGAAGATTTAATTAAAACGTTCTTTTAAGTTATAATGACAGAGGTTCTTTACAACTTAATTAATATTCCCTGCATATAAATAATATTGTAATACAATAAACCAACTGTCTTACATTTGCGTTTAATGTATAAGTTTTCAACCACTAATTGAAAAAGAAATATGAGTCCAGTTCGAAACTTCGACTCTAAATTTTATTATTCGTTATATTTTGTCTCTACTTACAAAAGTGTTATATATTTTAAATTTCTGTTATTTATGAAATTGATAAAAGAATTTGTTATTTACATTAATAACATATCTAACCTTCCGCTAAAGTAAACACTTGAAATAGCCATTTTTCTGATACCGGGGGATAAAAAGTAATAAACACTGAGAGGTATGTAACTACTTTTCTCTGCCCCAAATATAAATGAATAATAAACATTTACAATTAGATCAAACGACAAATTAATTTTTTTCGAAATAGGAGGCTCATCAAAGATCGAAAAGGGATAAACTTTACTTTCAAATACTATGATATTAAAAATAATGAAGTAACAGATTAAAATGAAAAAAATTATGCTAAAATCTACTAATTTTGATATGAATAAGAAGAAAAAATGACAATAATAATAATATTTTATACGATAAGTGTTTTTACTTTTTCTTAAAGAAAAACATTTCTTGTTGAAAATTGTTTTGAACACTTCTTCAAATTCTTTTGAACACTTTTTCAAATTCTTTTTAAAGAAATAAAACTTGATTGATTTTGATTTACATTTTGAATTGAATTTTGACTTTGAATTGATTTTTAACTGAATTTTGATTTTGATTTAAAGAAATCTCGAGTTCTTGAATTTTGAACACTTCTTGAAATTCTTTTGAACACTTCTTCAAATCCTTTTTGAACGCTTCTTTTAGACCCGAATGTTTGATTGATTAAAACATTAAAGTTTTAGTTGCATTAAGGTATTTAAATTAAATATTTATTTATTTTTAAAAAAATGACAAGAAATGGAAAAAATCTAAGTTTAAATGAAGAAAATTTCTTAGAAAAAAATGGAAATAGTTCTCGGTGCAAATATATGTTTCCAATTTTTAAAAAAAATTGTGATAACAAAATATGCAAATAAAAAGTATTGTGGAGGGAAAAAATTATTAGGAATTAAAAATATGGCTTAATTTAATGTTCCTAAATTGCTTTTGTACTTTTTTCACTTAATTCAGAAATAATTTTTGTTGATTCTATCAAGTTGATTCTATCAAGAATAATTTCCGAAAAACGTATTTACATTTATCCCTTCAGTTAAAACATTTTTTTTAATAATTTTATATAGTGGCATTACTTAAAATATTCATGTGGATTTGAACTTGCCTCAGACAAAAGAACTTCTGAAACAATTACCGAGGAAAAAATACCTTCACGAAGCTTCTTTTCTTATTTCCTCATACGTGTTACATGAAGAAGATGCGACACCATTTTTTTCATCGCAAACATTAAAAGCTAGGGATATCATGCATCACTGCTGTTTGGTCTTAAAAATATGCTCGCTGATTTCATCAAGTAAATATGAACGTGGTTTTTAGTTTCATTCTTGGAACCACGACAAACAGTTAAATCGGTTCATTAAGCCAAAAAATAACTAGTCTCATTAAAATTACTGATTAATTTGTCACTTGATGATAAAAAATTTAATTTTCTCCTTATCATTAAAAATTGAATTTCCACGTTAAGCTAAATAATTAACACGCCACGTTATGCAAAAATATTGGCATCTTTGATTATCAATTAATTTGTTACGTTGCTATAAGCTATTAATTTTTTAGGATAAGATAAACAATTCGCTACATTTAAAAATACCACAGATTCATCGAGCTAAGGCATACAATTAACTCCTCACATCATAACTTGCCACATTAAGACTATCAGTTAAGACTAATATCACGTTAAGACTAATTAACTTTATATATTGTGACTAGTACCAAAACTATCACGTTATGTTACGCAATTGTCTTTCTGATTTAGGATAAACAATTATTTTAACACATTTAAACAAAACATTAACTAGTCACATCATGACTAACAGTTGAAATGTTATCGTAGAACTAAAGATCAATTTATCACGTTAAGATTATCAATTAACCTGTTATTTAAGAACTTTCAATCAACTTGTCACATTAGGACTGTAAATTTACTAGCCACACCATGGTTATCAACAAAATTTTACCTTGTGACAAAAATAAACTAGTCATGTTAAAACTAACTGAGCCTTCATCTTACACTAAATTCCCATTTCTCATTCAAGGAATTGAATATTTTAATTCGTGATAAGGGTTTATTTTTGTATCAAAATGTATATTCCACAAAGTTTAAATTTATGAACTCTGATTACAGCTCTAGCAGAGTTTTCCAAGTATAACAATTTATATTTAAAAGTATTGCATAGCTATATTTACCAAGTATTGCATAGCTATGTTTTCATTCCTTTATTTTCTCAGATATTAAAAAATAATAATCAGCGAATTTATTTATGTGTTTTAAAAGAATTTATGATGAAACAAAATTTCTCAAAAATCTATTCTGTTTTAGATCAAATGTTTGTAAGAAAGTAAATAAAAACAACCAACTTTAGAAATAAAAGAAAAAGCATTAAGTGTAAATGCAGGACTTTTAGCCAAATAATACGATACATTTTAATGAAAACCAACACTCGACTTCACTGTCACTTTTTCAATAAAATAAATCAGAAATTAAATTAATTGTAAAATGTTTCCTCTTCCTGACTAAAATGATAACAAAGCTCGTAATTTTAAAAAAAAGAAGAAGAAAAATGAGCAAATATCTAGTTCACTGTCAGAAAGCGAAGTATATTGAAAGTGAAATCCACAGAAAATTGCTCCCTGAAACGGAAAATAATCAAAAACAGATGCGATAAGCCCCAAGGTAAAACTACAACAAACGAGGAAACTTTTCAGGGATAGGAAGTAAAATATTGCAACAGGAGGCAGGGGCGGCGACTTTCACCAATAGCGCGGTTTTTGTAGATAAGACTGCTAAAGGGGGGAAGGGGAATGTTTACCCCCACAACCATCAAAACGCCACCCCCAAACCCCTACCGGAGATAGTGGGGCGCACTATCTCTTTCCGAACACTTCCGACATTCGTTCGGCGCGCCCTCGCAAATCTCCCGCTTTCGGAAGATAAGGGAAACCCTAATGGATGCCGCCCCAGCTATGGCCGCATCCGGAGTCTAGCTTCGAAAGGAAGGAGTAGTTCAACCCTAAATTTAGATTTCATGGAACACTTTGAAAAGTTCTAAAAGGGAATGTGCTTCACTCCCTGCATTGGGAAATCTTTTTAAAACGTTATATTTTAAAATATAGGATCGTATCTAAAATCGTAAACGGTATTGTTCAGTGAAGTTGAAGTTTAAAAAGAAGCGATAAATAAAATATTAGCCTTTTTTAATAGCTTAAAGAATGGATAATATTTGTGTTTTATGTTTTAACTGAAGTTTTTGTAAAGTCAAACCTAAATTTACGTAAATACAAAAACTTTATTATAAATATAATATAAAAAAATTATTTAATGATGAACCGATTTAGAATAAGTACGATAACTAATGAATCATAAAAGATTTGAAATTTATAGTTGGTAAAACAAAGCTTAAATTATGAAAATGTAAAAACTTTATGATAAATATAATTTTAAAAAAATAACTTAATCCTGAACCGATTTAGAATAAGTAAGATAACAAATGAATCATAAAAAATTTGAATTTTACAGAAATTTGAATTTTTAAAATTCAAAGTTAAATTTAAAGTTTAAATTAAAATTAAAGTTTTTTAAAAGTTAAATTTATTTGGAAAAAAAATATTTTAATTAATATCTCTTTTTGAAATGGAAAATTTCTACTTTCTAAATTTTCGTAAAATTTGAAGAAGTGGCTGTAAATTTCTACTGCCAGCACTCTGCAAAAAAAAAAGCTCCCTGGCTACACTGTTAAAAATATCGTATCAAAATGCGGTGCATTTTTATTGCAAGTTTAACAGTTAATAATTCTTGAATAATTATTCGACTGTTAATTTTTTTATCCCATCTTACTCCTTATACATTCTTCTTCAAACCATGGCAATTTCAAATTACCAAGTATTATTTCTAAGCATTAGCTCTAAGTCTTGTGAGCAACTAAATATAATGTAATGCAAAAAATATGCGAAAAAGGTCTCGAAAATAGCACTTAGAGATGCAATAACTTTTGAATAAATTAGAATTTCGAAAAGAACTATTTTAAGTCCAAAAATAAATACTGGTCTCTAAGCACTAAAGCACTTTAAGCAAGTGTTTAAGCAAATGAACACTATACCACTTTAAACGCGTTCAATCTGTTCTTCACCTTTATTATGGCTTATAAGGTGTACTTTGTGATGAGCGCACAAGCCACCATATGCAAGTGGCAATTGTAATAATAAATAAATTTTTTTTACAAACATATGAAGGTTCATATGCTCAATACAAAGAATGGCTCGTAATCCCTTGACAAATTGAAATACGGCACAAATTCGAGAAAGGCAGATTAAAGATACATTTCGGATTACGTAAGATTTAAATCCTTTACCTCCACCCTTCAAAGCGTTTAACGGAAAGACAAATCTCCTGTTATTTTACTTGCAATAAATTCCAGAGGCATCCTTGATCGACTAATATCGCCGTTTCCC